GTGTTCGCAATTGCAAACAAACTATCGCATTTAAGACGACAACAAGCTCGGTGACTTCTTCGCATTTGCGAAGGGTTGATCGCAATTGTGAACTATGTGTCGCAATTGGGATAACTACAGCTGAGTAAAAGAGGAAAAAATGAAAATTAGCTCATTTCTTTCAAACTCTCAACCCTAAACACCCTAGAGGCGATTTTCCCAAGAGATTTTCTTCCTAAATTCATTGGTAAGTGACTTTTATCTACTTCCTTTGAATTACCCATTACATTTCATAAGATTTCAACATCAAATCTAGGATTTTATAGTAGAAATTAGGAATTTGGGTAGAATTAGAATTTTTTGTAAATTTGGGGTTTAGACCTCTAATTGAGGTCGGATTTTGAATTGAATTACATAATCGGGTTCGGGGGTGAATGGATAATCGAGTTTTGGTCCGAATCTGGGGTTTTTGACCAAGCGAGCCTAGGGTTGACTTTTGTTGACTTTTCAATAATGACTTAAATTGAACCTCTTTCGTGAGTAGTTTCTAAAGCTTATTTTGAATCGTTTGGTAAATAATTTGCTAGATTTTGTTGGTTTGGAGGCTTGTTCGAAAGGCAAGGCCATGGTTGAATTTTGAGTTGATTGCGGAGTGAGGTAAGTGTTGGGTCTAACCTTGACTTGAGGGAATTAGAAACCCTTGATTCTATGTGCTATGTGAATTTCATGAGTAGCGGAATATATGCGGGGTGACGAGTGTCTATACGTCGTCAATTACTTGTTTTCATGTCTACCCGTATTTTATTAATTATAGCATTTCATGTCTTGATTGTTACATGCCTTAATTGCTTCCCATGCCTTAACTTGTTACTTGTCATTTATTATTCTCGCATTATAAATGTTAATTTCTTTCATGCTTCTATGCTTAATTGATATTTGCCTTAATTGTATTACTTGAACCCCTTTATCTGTCATATATGTGACTGTCTTGTTGCTTAGTATTAAGTGTAGCCTTTTATGATTTGGTATGAGATTCCTCTTGATTGTGTAATTTTCATATTCGTTAATCGTAGAGATTCTTGTGGTTCGAGTTGTTAAATTGATTGCAATTATTGATTTATTTATATTGATATGGTGGGATCGGGTTGCGCGCCACAATAAGTGAAATAAGGGTGGATTGATATGGAGAAATAAGGGAGGATATATATTGATTCGGTGGGATCGGGTTGCGCATCGCAACATGTGAAATAAGGCTGGATTGATATGGTGAAATAATGGTGAATTATGATATTGACTCTGATTATATGGTGAGATAGGGTTGTGCGCCGCAACATATATTTACTTATTATTATTGATATTTACATGGCAGAATAAGGGAGGATAATGTTATACGGTGGGATCGGGTTGCGCGCCGCAATAGTTTATGTGTTTTCTATTCCTTATTGTATTGTGTTGGCTTAAGTACTGTGGTACGAGACTCTAAGGATTGGTATTTATGGTATTACTGGTATTCTTTGAGGATTGAGTTATTTTTATGAGTTACTACATTATTTCGTTTATGTATTTTTCTTTCCTGTCATTATTTTATATTGCATATAGGTTATATTGTAGGTGACTCGACTTAGCCTCGTCACTACTTCGTCGAGGTTAGGCTCGGTACTTATAAGGTACATGTCGGTTGTACTCATACTACACTCTGCACTTCTTGTGCAGATTTTGGAGTCGGTCCCAGTGGTGATCAGTAGATTGCTCGGGTTGACTATCAGTACGGAGACTTGAGGTACAACTGCTCGGCGTTCGCAGTCCTGAAGTCCCCTTCTATCTTATCTTAGATGTGTATTTTCTTTCAACAACTTTACTTTCATTCAGACCTTTATCTGTATTAGTCTAGTAGCTCATGCACTTGTGACACCACATTCAGGGTTGTATTTAGATATTTCAGTTGTTACGATTTTTCGCATTTTATTTCAGTTATTTTAGTAATTGACATCAGTTAAATTTGATTTGTTTAAAAACAATGGCTTAAAACTAATCTAACGTTGGCTTACCTGTCAAGTGAAATGTTAGGCACCATCACGGTCCCGAGGGTGAGAATTTCGGATCGTGACAATATATCATCAAAACATGGTTATTTGTAATAGTTGTTCATCTGCACAATAATTTTCTCCTTCTAATTAAACTTAAATTTAGATCATATGGTGAGGACTTCATGTGCTTCATGAAATGACTAAGAAGAACTTTTATTAAACGCAAGTAAGATAGATGGCAGAAATTTGGAAACCATGTTGCCCTCAGGCTAGTGCCACTTCTTGTCACGTTAGATAGGGATAATGCGATACCGAAATCATACCGAATATTACCGAACCAAACAAGAATATACTGAACCGTACCGAACTACTTTGGTATAATATTTGGTATGCACAATTGTTATACCGAATATTAAAGTACCGAATTGTAAGTCATAAATACCGTACCGAAGTATTGAACGCCCACCCCTACTCCAACTTATTGGCTATAAATTAAGAGTTTTTGCCTCAGTTTTCACCATTGAAAAATCTAAACCCTCTTTCCTCTTCATTTGTTTTCAATAGAAAGTAAGTATCTAGTGTGATGTGATTTACTCCGGTTTTTAAGTTCGTTGAATATCTAAAATTTGGAGTGCCATTATTATAGAGTAGTTTATTTTGCTTTGTTTCGAGAGCAGTTAATTCAAAACCTTGAACAATTGTGAGCGAATTAAATTCTTTAAGGACACACAGTGTAATATGAGTTCGAAAATTCTTCTTGTCTTACCTTGTCTTCCAATTTATTTTATTTATTCTGATTTTTGTTTCTAACACAGTTTACTAACCTCTCTCCACGTTACAATTCCAACCACCAAATTTCTCCAATACTCAAGTAAATTTCTCCAATACTCAAGTTCATTTCTAATTGGCAAAATACATAGTTTACCCATCAACCTTGCAGTGAAATTCCTTGTTCACACCCCTCGTTCACGGAAAACCTTTTACACACTCAATCTTTCAGAAGTGTGTCTAAGACACACCACTTTTGTGCTTGACCAATCTGTCAAATAACGTGAAAGTCACGCCCTAATAGGGTAGTGACACATGTCATTGACCTTAAAAAAGAAAAAATATATTAGAAATTACAATTAAAATCCATCTTCTTCATCTTCCCTTTTTCTATCTTAAGTATCATTGTTGCTGCCACCATAGTTGTTTGTGAGAAAATTTCCAACAACACTAAAATTCAACCACACTATCTAAACAACTAGCCGAAAATAATCGAGCAACAAATTGAGTTCAACAATCCAATAATCAACAAGACCCAATTGAATTGACAAGTTTTTTTCGATACCCCAACAATGGTGGATTCTAAATTTGTTTACCAAACCTTCAATACTATTGTTAAAACTTTTAAATCTATCAAAAATAAATAATTTTCACAATATTTAGACAATAAACCAACAAAAATCGCTCAACTTTAGATCCAAAATTTTATGTTCTTTCGAAAATTCTACTTGGGAAAGAATATGGGGGAGGGTGGTTTGAGGAAGAAGACCAGAGGGAGCGGGAGGGGTTCCTGTGGGGAGGGGAGACAAAAAATAGAATTTTTACGGGCTTCGCGTATTTTTGTGTGTGTGTAAACACGCAAGTGCTATCTGGTCAAAAGTAGTGTGTCTTATAGGTTGTTTGGCCAAGCTGGAGAAATCAGTTTATTTTAAGAAGTGCTTTTTTCAAAAGTGCTTTTGAAAAAAGTACTTTTGGACAGAATCAGTTTGTGTTTGGCTAATCACTCTGAAAAGCACTTTTGGGCAATAATTTGTATTTGGCCAAGCTTTTTCAGAAAATGCTTTTAAGTATCAAATTACGAATAAGAACATGAATGTATTTACTTAATAGTTAATATTATAAGTAAATAAATAGTCTCAAAATTTTGTTATTACAAGCAATAATTAAATCTTTTCATTTTATTTAAGTAAAATATGAAAATAAAATTTAAAAGTACTTAATTCTTTTAATATAAGTTAAATATATTAAAAATCATTCAACAAATATAAAAATATTCACCCCTAAAGTCACTATATATTAGAAAGTTATCCTAAAAATAATAAAAAATATGTATATATTAATATCCTAAGTATTAGGTTTAACGGTTATTTTGGTATATACTATATTTTGTTAAGGGTATTCTTGGTAAGAAAAAAAGTCAAAACTGCTTCTGCTTTTACCTTTTGGGAAGAAGCTATTTTTTTCAGTTTCTCAGAAACTACTTCCGCTTCTTCCCAAAAATACATTTTTCCTCCAAAAAGCTTAGCCAAACACCCCAAGTTAGGAAAAAAATGCTTTTTGGGAAAAAAAATACTTCTGGGCTCTTGAGATACTTGGCCAAACAGGTTATTAGACACACTTTTAAAATGTTGAATGTATAAAATATTTTCTATGAAGGAAATGTGTGTAACAAGAATTTCACTGCAAGGTTGATGGGTAAACTATCTATTCTGCGTTTCTAATTCTTGAACAACTTCTGATTTCAAAAAGTGGGGATAAACCCCTTCGTGAGCTCGCCGGAAAACACAAATGAATGTCTCCGGAATCATGCGAAAATATTGAGAGATTATAATAAAATACAGAAAGTTATGTTTTAGACATTCCGTATTAAGGATTCATGGATAGTTTATTTTCTGAAAATATTACAACTCAATACGTGGAGGTTGAAAATTAAAATTTTTGATTCAATAATGACTTGCTTCTTGAATATTACAAAGAAAATATTTATATTTACAAGGACCCATGATCCCCGAATTAACAGAAATGGCCATCAATCATCGGTGGACCGGACGTCCGAATCAGCCGTAGAAGTTGGAGTACCAGAAAGTTATTTGCCACGTGTCAATAATCAAGAGGTATATTGGACAAAATTGGAGGAAAAGCTACTGGAGGGGATCTCGACCCATACTTGAGGGACTATTTTAAACCTACACCAAACATAAGTGACCATTTTTGTTATTTTTCTGTATCTTTTCACATAAGACCATTTTGCAACCTGGAACCGGTTTCTTCACCCAAGTTCACTTTTTTGCACTACAGCAACCACAGCCAGTTAAAACCATAAGCAAAAAGCAAAACCCAGTTTGATTCAAACAAGTCTACGCTGTGTGATTTCTCAATTGATGTTCCTTTTCTTTCTTCTCTTTGTATTAAATCAATTTTGTCTGTATTTCACGCTACAATGAGATGCTTTCATAAACAAATGTGACGTGTTTATGTTTACAGCTACTTCCTATTTTTATGTCTTAAATCTTTGAGAACTATTCAAGAAAAAGAATCTTTGAAAACAATCCCCCAAAAAAATTGAATCTTTTCCTTTTTCGCCCAGTAGTCTGTTTCCAAAGTTTGGATTTTTATTAGAGTACTGTTCAAATTTCTGAGATTGATGGTATTTTGCAGAAATGGGGTCCTCTGAACGTTTAAGATCTTCGCCAATGGTGTATAGGAATCTACTAAAAGCAGTGGAAAAGCACATAGGGAAGGAAGAACACAAGGTTCATTTCACTGACTTCATCAGGGAAGAGTTCAGGAAGAAGAGCAATCTTGAATGCCCAAAAGACCCCTCTTTTATTCAGCGGAGGATTAATCTTGCTCAAAATTATGCTTACCTTCTCAACAGTGTCCACCATCATAAGGTTAGCTTCATTTCTCTAGCTATCCACAATTTTTGCCGCGCTATCTCTTTGTTTGTACTAGCCCCTCTTGTTTTTCTAAGATGCTTCTTGATTAGGATGAAATTCAGGAAGTTAATTTTGACTATCTAATAGAGTATATTAATGGAAGGATATATTAAAACAATTGTTAAAAAGTAATTAAAAGTCAGTTTTATAGACTTAACATCGTATTAAAATTCAGATTTTTTCCCAGGGCTTTGGTCTAGTGGTCTAGTGGTACACTGATGATGTTTGGGTTAGGTGCATGTCATGGTTTCGAACCCTGTCGAACACAAAGCCGTGATATTTAAATGGAGGCTAGAGGGGCGGGCCATTATCCACTGAGTTTCGAACCGTGCGCCATTGGTTCTCGGGGATTTTTCGGTTATAAAAGAAGTTAGATTTTTAATTGTTAAATGAATTTAAAATCGGAATTAGTGAAAAGTCATATGGTGGAACATTATAGGAAGTTCTTAAAATAAATAAGAGTACTTATGAATTAGGACATAAAAAGATATTTTTTAAATATCGATTTATTTATAATGTACTTAATTTGTTCAGTTAAGACATATAGCGGAGTGAAATGCAAGTCCCGTAGATGGTAGTAAGAACAACAATGTTACATGGAGTGCATGTGGAGCCTCTAATGTCCAATACACCTACAAAATGGGAATCACAAAAATGTTAATGTTGAGGGGAATGTGTAATCATGGCAATATTACCGGTGATCGTATTCGATAAAGGGTGCAGATGGCACAATAAAGCATAAAATAAGAAAAGGCTGCTTTGTTATGGTCCATTGCAAGGTATGAGACTTGAGTCCCACATCGGTATTGCAATGTGCTGATGTGGGGTTTATATAGTCTTGGGCTCTCCCACCTTAATAGCTAGCTTTTGGGTTGTGGTTCTCCCTAGGTTGTATCAATGGTATCAGAGCCGCCCTCCGTGTCCACCGTGTCCACCGTGCCATGGACGGTGACGCCGGTATTGCAGTGTTCGCCCGGGGCAAGAAAAGTCTAGCACACAGCCGTCGGGGACGACGGATGCGGAGCGTGGTGGTTTGTTATGGTCCATTGCAAGGTATGAGACTTGAGTCCCACATCGGTATTGCAATGTGCTGATGTAGGATTCATATAGCCTTGGGCTCTCCCACTTTAATAGCTAGCTTTTGGGATGTGGTTATCCCTAGGTTATTTCACGCTTGAGATGGTGCGGCACCATGATAATAAGGTGCTAAAAAGGGCGAGGTAGACCTAAAATAACCTGGAGAAAGATCGTCTCAGAAGACCTGCAATTCCTTGGAATTTACGTGAATTTATTAGGGACCTATAGAGGCAATACCAATTAGTTGGGTTAAGTTTTTTGTTTTATTTTGTCATACTTACATAAAGTCTGATGGCTAGGAGTCTCTTTTGTCTGGTTATAGACTCGAATGCCATTGTATGGATAATTGTGGGATTCAAAGAACTTCTAGGGTTCTAGTTTTGGAGAAACCTTAATTTTAAGGCAAATTATTTTTAGGTAAAGGTAGTATTGGAATGATTAAGGTCTGAATAGTCTTGAAGATTCTTATAGCTGACCCTAACTTTGTTTGGGATTGAGGCATGATTGATATTGATATAAACATATAGCTAGTAATGAGCAGTAGGTCATCAGAAAATGTTGAGCACATTGGTCATTTCTAATGAACGTTTCACAAACTTATTCGTATGATTAGAATGCGCATCAGATTGTAATCATCCTATGCTGTGTGAACTGTGAATCAAGGGAATAAAATTAAATTGTTTACCTATCTTCTTTTTATAGGGGTGAAGAAATTCATCATAAAAGTGCTGATGCAACATCATCCATCTCATCGCTAGCTATGTTAACCCACGACAGTCAAAAGCTGCATATAAGATGATTATGGATTATGAAATCTTCATCAAGACAAGTGTTGTTGAAGAGGAAGTTAATGTGCACATGGGTGTAATATTGTGGCATGGCATCAAATACCATGATAAAATCATCACTAGGGTCAACTTTGTTAATATATTTGTCAATATAAATAATTTTTTGCTTACTGTAAAAATGACTAACGGAGAGCAAGAAGCAACAGTGTTTTTGTGGAAGACTTTGGTAATATAGGAGGATTATGTGATAAGCTATGGGTAATACGTAACTTAATCATAATTATATAGGTGTTTAATATTTAACTCAAAAAATAAAAAGAGGGAGAAGAAAAAGATTTTCCATCTTTTTTTGTTAAAAATTTGAATTAAGATTTTATTGCTTAAGGCATTCTCCATCCAACTGAGCTGAGTCATTTTGTCAAACACACAATGTCAGCGTCTTACCAACACAAGCAGCATTTTACTATGCATGATTAAAATAAAAATACAAAATGCTGGTCTTTCAGACTCCTTTCATAGCTTTTGCTACTCTGAATGACACTCCTATGGTATTCATATTCCACTGATATGCAAAATCCTAAAGCCTATCACTTGTTAACAGTAGGTGGCTTTGAATCGAAAATGAATTGTCTTTTCTGATTGATGCAGTGTGTGTGTGTGTATATATATATGTTCATATCGCTGAAGATATTTTCTAATTGAGCCCTATGTATACCTTGTGGTTTTATCCTTTATTACTCGACCATAAAGTTGAAATAAATTAAAGGGAGTCATGGGGAATATTCTTTTCTCAATTTCAGCATTATTTGTGTAGTGACCTTCCCATCTCTTCTTTCATCATGGTTCTATGGATGTTGTGTTGTTCTTGTATTAAGGAATCTGTGATATTACAATTGCGTTTTACAAATCAAGTGACTTCCTTTATTTCTGCAGGACTTGTTATTTTCTTACAACATTGCAGTAGATAGATCCGATGAGATGACAAAAGTGCTGGGCAAATCTGCTGCAAGTGTGGGGCTCCGCCTTCCTGATGTTTATCAGTCTTGAAAGTTGGTAGGTTATCACCATTTTCCTTTCCATTTTCTTGTCTATGAAATGGTTTGGTAACAAACACGTTTATGCTGTGAAATTTATGGCATATTCCTGTCTAAAGCATATCTGTGCCTGTGTGCTTCGAGGCGGATCACAGAACTATGTAGAATTGGACTCTCACACCCTCTATTCTAGCTTATTTTTTTGAAATACTCTACCTAGCAGAAAACTTAAGAGTCTGGTTATAAACCAACTCCCTTCCCCTGGAAGAAAGGAAGCAGCGGCTAGCACGCTAAACTAAGATCAACCAATGTTCGAACTGGGGGGGGGGGGGGGGGCTTTTGGG